ATACGGTGTTAACAAATGTACAAACAGTAGAACAAAGCAAGTATAGCAACACCCCCCACCCCACATCTCTGGCCTCCATATAGAGCTTAATGTATCCACTTCTCAGTTTGACAAATACTCCGTGGCGAGGTCAGAACTGCCTTTTTCTGCTCTTTAAGAGACAAAAGCTCGGCCTCATTTAGCTAGAGGCTGGTGTGGCGTGTAATGTCCCACTGTACAACCGTCCGCAGGGTCCAACGCCGATGCATTTCATCTGCCCTCTCGCGCCCGCGGCCCACGGCTACACCAGGTGGGGTCCGTTCGTCCATTCCTCCCGTTCGCGCGCCATTTTTCCTGCACATAAACTGCGACCTAAATCACACAAATGGCCTCGCATCACGTCGAGATCATAACCGTGTGTAAAAAAAATAAATAAATATGGAAAAAAGCTTCGGAAACGTGCCAGTGTGTTATCTCCTGCACTTCTCGACGGCCTTTCTGAAACGGCTTTGTCCTCCCGTGTGGATTTCGAGCGTTCCCGTCGTCGCGCGGGCATTACGGAGCGGGTCATTTGACGTCGGGGTTTTTTGGGGGGAAATGCCGTCGGAAACAGAGGACGGCGCGGGCTTGATTATGTCGTTTGGTTTTGTCCCGAGTCGTGCTGTGTTTTATGTCTTCGCCGAGAAATCTACCTCCTGACAGATCATTAGTCATCGCGGGCTTCCCCCTCCCCCGCCGACTCCTCCTCTCTCTCTCCATCCAACTCCCATAACCTCTTTCTCCTCGTAGTGTCTTCCTCAGCCTCTCTTTTTCCAAATTCTCTCTCTGCTTCTCTCATTCCTGTTCTTTCCATTCTTTTTTCGATCTCTCTCTCTGTGCCCTCATGCTCTTTTCCACCGTCCTCTCTCTTTCACTTTTTCTCAATTCTCTCTCTTATTCTCTCTCTTCTCTGTCTCGCCTTCTACTTTTTATCTCTTTCTCTCTCCTCATATTCTCTTCTACCTATTCACCTCCTCTCTCCACCTCTCCTCTTCCTTTCATTCTACGCCTTCACCTTTTGTACCTCATCTCCTCTTCTCCTCTTTACCTCTCCATCGCTCTTCCTCTCCTCCTCTACTTCACTTTTTTCAGGTCATCTCCCCCTTTCTCCATCTCTCCTCCTTTATTTCTCTTCTCCTTCTCTCTTCCTCTCTACCTCTCCACTTTACCTCTCCTCCTCTTCTTCCTCCCTCCATCTCTGTTCCTCCTCTCCTCTTCATCTCATCCTCGTCCTCTCCTTCACCTTTTTTCACCTCATCTCCCCTTTCTTCATCTCTCCTCTTTACCTTCCCTCTCCTCCTCCTCCTCTTCTTCCTCTCTCCAACTCTCCCCTCTCTTCTTCTGCTCCTCTCTTCCTCTTTACCTCTTCTCTCTCCAGCTCTCCTTCGCCTTTCGTCACCTCATCTCCCCTTTCACCATCTCTCCTCTTTACCTCTCCTCTCTTCCTCCTTTCCTCTCTCCACCTCTCCGTCACCTTTCTACATCTCTCCTCTGCCTCTCCATCTCTCATCCTCTCCCCCTCTTCTCGTTTCTACCTCTCCTCCTCTCTTCCTCCCCTTCTCTTCCTTTCATTCTCCTCTGCTACTTCACCTTTTCTCACCTCATCTCCTCCTTTCTCCATCTCTCTGATTTACCTTTCCTCTCCTTATTCCTTATTCCTCTCTCTCTTCTCCTCCGTCTCTGCCACTCTCCTCCTCCTTCCCGCTTTCTCTCCTCTCTTCTCCCTCTCTCCTCTTCCTCTCGTTCTTCTCCTCTCCTTCACCTGTCTTCACCTCATCTCCTCCTACCTCCATCTCTCCGATTTACCTTTCCTCTCCTCCTCGTCTTCCACTCTCCACCTCTCCTCTCTCCTCCTCCAAGTCTCCTCCTGTTCCTCGCCTCTTCTCTACCTCTCTGTTCCTCTTCTCCTCTTCTCTACTTCTTCTGTTCCTCTCCTCTGTTCCTCTTCTCCTCTTCTCTACCTCCTCTGTTCCTCTCTCCTCTTCTCCTCCACCTCTCCTCCTCCTGTTCCTCTCCTCTTCTCTACCTCCTCTGTTCCTCTCCTGTTCCTCCTCTCCTCCTCCGTTCCTCTCCTCTTCTCCTTTCTCTACCTCCTCTGTTCCTCTTCTTCTCCTCCACCTCTCCTCCTCTGTTCCTCTCCTCTTCTCTACCTCCTCTGTTCCTCTCCTCTGTTCCTCCTCTTCTCCTCCACCTCTCCTCCTCGTCTTCCACTCTCCACCTCTCCTCTTCCCTCCTCCAGGTCTCCTCCTGTTCCTCTCCTCCTCTTCTCCACCTTCTCTGTTCCTCCTCTTCTCCTCCACCTCTCCTCCTCTGTTCCTCTCCTCTTCTCTACCTCCTCTGTTCCTCTCCTCTGTCGCCCTCTTCTCCTCCTCCATCTCTCCCACTCGCTTCCTCCTTCCCTCTTTCTCTCCTCTCCTCTTCCTCTCCTTCTTCTCCTCTCCTTCACCTGTCTTCACCTCATCTCCTCCATCTTTCCTCTTTACCTTTCCTCTCCTCCTCGTCTTCCACTCTCCTCCTCCAGGTCTCCTCCTGTTCCTCTCCTCCTCTCTTCCTCCTCCTCTTCCTCTTCCTCTTCTTCTGGTGGAGCTCTCTGGGTGAGTGTGACCTGTGCGGATGGCTACATCATTTTGACACGTAATTATCTCTGGCTCTTTAATCACCTCCATAAAGATTAAGTAGAGGAGACAACAGCGGAGGTCGTGTCTCCAAATCAAAGCGTTACCGTGGCGATGTGACAAGGCGCTGTAACCACTCTAGTGTTTTATACGGGTCACCTGACGGGACGGAGGCGCTTTAACTCTCGGAGCGCAACGTCAGCGAAACCTGACCACTCGTAAAACAACGGGGACGCGACATCGTGTTTGTGGAGGTGTTCTGTCCTCGTTTAGGCCTGGTTTAGTCCAAGTTTAGGCCAGGTTTAGTCCAAGTTTAGGCCTGGTTTAGTCCAAGTTTAGGCCTGGTTTAGTCCAAGTTTAGGCCTGGTTTAGTCCAAGTTTAGGCCTGGTTTAGTCCAAGTTTAGGCCAGGTTAGTCAAGTTTAGCCAGGTTTAGTCCAAGCTTAGGCCAAGTTTAGTCCCAGTTAGCCTGGTTAGTCCCTTAGGCCTGGTTTAGTCCCAAGTTTAGGCCTGGTTTAGTCCCAAGTTTAGGCCTGGTTTAGTCCAAGTTTAGGCCAGGTTTAGTCCAAGTTTAGGCCAGGTTTAGTCCAAGTTTAGGCCAGGTTTAGTCCAAGTTTAGGCCTGGTTTAGTCCAAGTTTAGGCCTGGTTTAGTCCCAAGTTTAGGCCTGGTTTAGTCCAAGTTTAGGCCTGGTTTAGTCCAAGTTTAGGCCTGGTTTAGTCCAAGTTTAGGCCTGGTTTAGTCCAAGCTTAGGCCTGGTTTAGCCAGGTTTAGTCCAAGTTTAGGCCTGGTTTAGTCCAAGTTTAGGCCTGGTTTAGTCCCAAGTTTAGGCCTGGTTTAGTCCCAAGTTTAGGCCTGGTTTAGTCCAAGTTTAGGCCTGGTTTAGTCCCAAGTTTAGGCCTGGTTTAGTCCCAAGTTTAGGCCTGGTTTAGTCCCAAGTTTAGGCCTGGTTTAGTCCCAAGTTTAGGCCTGGTTTAGCCCAAGTTTAGGCCTGGTTTAGTCCAAGTTTAGGCCTGGTTTAGTCCAGGTTTAGGTCTGGTTTAGCCCAGGTTTAGGCCTGGTTTAGTCCAAGTTTAGGCCAGGTTTAGTCCAAGTTTAGTCCAGGTTTAGTCCAAGCTTAGGCCAGGTTTAGTCCAAGCTTAGGCCAGGTTTAGTCCAAGTTTAGGCTGGTTCAGTCCAAAGTTCAGGCCAGGTTTAGTCCAAGTTTAGGCCAGGTTTAGTCCTGGTTTTAGTCCTGGTTTAGACCTGGTCTAGTCCTGTTTTAGTCCTGATCGCAACATCAGCAAAAAGAGACAACACATAAAATACAGGGACACAAGCTGCGGTTTTAGTCCTGGTTCAGTCCTAGGTTAGTCCTTCTTTCGTCCATGTTTAGTCCTGGTTTAGGCCGGGTCTAGTCCTGGTTTAGTCCTTCTTTAGTCCTTATTCAATCCTGGTTTAGCCCTGGTTAAGTTCTGGTTTAGTTCTGGTTTAGCCCTGATTTAGTCCTGATTTAGTTCTGGTCTAGTCCTGGTTTACAGCTCTTAAACCGTCCTGATCGCAACATCAGCAAAAAGAGAACTCATAAAATACAGGGACACAAGCTGCGGTTTTAGTCCTGGTTCAGTCCTAGGTTAGTCCTTCTTTTGTCCATGTATAGTCCTGGTTTAGGCCGAGTCTAGTCCTTCTTTAGTCCTGTTTTAGTCCTGGTTTAGCCCTGGTTTACTGGTTTAGCTTTACAGCTCTTAAACCGTCCTGATCACAACATCAGCAAAAAGAGACAACTCATAAAACACAGGAACACAAGCTACGGATTTAGTCCTGGTTTAGTCCTGGTTTAGTCCTGGTTTAGTCCTGGTTTAGTCCTGGTTTAGTCCTGGTTTAGTCCTGGTTTAGTCCTTGTTCAGACTGGATTAGTCAACCCAAATTTAGTCTTGGTTAATCATAATTTAGTTGAGGATTAGTCCTTGTTCAGTCCTTGTTTAGCTCTATTTTCGTCCAGTTTTAGTCCTGGTTTAGTCCAGTTTTAGTCCTGGTTTAGTCCTGGTTCAGACCGGATTTAGTCCTGGTTTAGTCCAGTTTTAGTCCTGGTTTAGTCCTGGTTCAGACTGGATTTAGTCTTGGTTAAGTCCTGGTTTCATCATAGTTTATTTGAGGATTAGTCCTGGTTCAGTCCTTGTTTAGTTCTAGTTTCGTCCACTTTTAGTCCTGGTTGAGATGTGATTTAGTCTTTATTTAGTGAAGTTCTGGTCTAGTCCTGATCAGTTCTGGTTTAGTCTAATCATGAGTTACTGTATTTGGATCTTGGGGGTCAAAAAATCTCACATAGTTCCTTACATCACAGCAAATTTGATCAACATTTTCTCATCAATCATATGAACAAAACGAACCCAGCGCACAGATTTCGTTGCTGTAGAAAATGCCGATTGTTTTTACCTTCGTCTCTTTTCCTCTTCTCTCCGTTGGATCGGGGAATTCCCAGGATGCCGTTGATGGAGTAGGAGCCGGCGGGGTCAGAGGCGCTGGTGACCGGAGGAGACACTGTGCTCGGGACTGGACAGTGAACAGAAACATGTTTTTAAAATCAGGATGGAGAAGATTTTACAACCAAATACAAAAACAGTGAATTGTGAATGAACAAAAGTAATTAAATCAATAAATAAAGGCAGTACTAAAAAATAAAATAGTTAAATAAATGAAAAAAAGACACAGAGGACGACACAACTCACGCGGTGTTAAAAGCCAGAGAGTAAAAGTGGATCTTAAGATGAGACTTAACTTCTATTTCATTTGTCCTCGCCTGGATTTTTTTTTCTTAATTTTGCTATTAAAACTCCAAATTTTACCCAATATTAAAAAAATACTATTGGGCATCACAATTAAGGGCCCTAAAAGTTTGGACTGATGAGGATGATGAGACAGGATGGAGGGAAATGGAGCAAAACTCATGCCCAATGGTTCCTCTAGAATCTTTACCATTTCTTACAAAGAAATTTCAAAAGGATTTAATAAAAATGAAAAATGAATGGGTTAAAGGAACATTAAGAATATGGACTACAGTAAAAAGAAAATTAAATGTGTCTGATTCAATCTGTAGGGCCACTAAAATCGGTTTAAACCCAGACTTTACACGAGGGCTGCTCACACTTTTTCAGCATGTGAGCTACTTACAAAATGACCAAGTCGAAATGTTCTACCTAATACAAAGCCAAACAAACTGCACTGAAACACTCTGTGCCCCTTTTTTGGACCCTCACCCACAGTTTGAGAACCTCTTCTTTAAGAGAACTTCCTCTGGCACTTTACACAAAACTGTGAAAAAAGTGAAGGAAGATTTTTAAACCTGTTTTTTAAAGTTCCAAACTGGAGTTTCATTCTTTTCTGGTTTTGCAGTGATATTTACCAGCCTCTGCACGTTTACCAAACCAAATGCATTTTCAGTCAAATGTGGCAGTAGGTCTGTTCTGTAGATCCGCTCTATGCTGTAGACCTGCTTTGTGCCAACACTGGAACACAAATTTAGACTGGTTTTTGCTTCACGTTTGGTCTTGCTCTTCTAATCAGCCGCACTGTGGGAGGGGCTTGTGTTCGCTGTACGCAGGAAGGAGCGAGAGCGTGAAAAGGCGAGGGGCGGCGTGCTGACGTGAGGCAGATGGACAGGTAGGATGTTTAGGAAGTTGAACCTGCCCTGTGATGCACGCTGGTACACGAGGGCACACGCTGTCGCAGACGAGCCGTGCATAGGGAGCGTGTGTGTTTGTGATGCGCCGTAGAGTCTCCGCGGGTTTCAAATGAGCGCACAGGCTGCACTGAGACGCCCCACACGCTCCTGCACCCGCTACAAGTTTATTACCAACAGCAGCGGCCGGAATGAAACATGATCGCACTTGTTGAGTGTCAGACCTCGAGTGAGAGACAAGACCAGAGTCCAAACGCGAGTCCGAGACGAGTACTAAGACATGGCGATCTACCCACACGACCTTGGCGATCGACTGGTAGATCGAGATCGACGTATTGGTCAGCCCTGCTTTACACCATCAGTGGAAGGAGTATTTTGTAAATGGAAAGAGAAAGGATTGGTATATATCGGACATCTTTTCGAAGGTGAACACATGAAATCTTTTGAACGGTTAAAAAAGGAATTTGGTTTAAAAGCACAAGACGTCTATATTCTTTTCACAAATCAGAAACTATCTTACGAAACATAAAGACTGGAAGTATATTTGTAAGGAACCTAATTATCTAGAAGAATTTTTAATGACAAGTACATGTAATACTAAAAAAAATCATTTCAAAAATATATAAAGCCCTACAGATTGACACAGATGACAACAATATGGGCGTTAAAGACAAATGGGAAAAGAAATATTACAATATTAGAGGAAAACTGGGAGAAATCAGTTTAAAGATGGACATAAAACATTAAACAGTATTTCATGGAGATAGTTTGAATGGAAATCCAAGATGCAAGATTTTATCATCCCAACAAAGGTAACAAAATAGAGCACAAAATCTGACAAATGCTGGAGGGGCTGTGTGTAAATGTGTAAGTAAACTAAAAATATCCTTATTGCCTAAAAACAAAACAAAAAGAAAGTGTCGTCCAGGGCACAGAGCCACATCACTTCCTGCATTTCCATGTTGTTTATTACATTTGGATTTGGACATTTTGACTGAGATAAACATCGAGATGCACAATTACGCAAACCAAGATGCGTAATTTGCCATTTATTTGAGAAATAAGTGCACTTAGAGCGACTTTTTCAACTGTTACGATCACAGACGCTCAGAGCAGTCGATCATCTTGACTCACTACACTCTTTGGCAAAGTTTGGGTCGATCAAAATGGACGGAGAGAGTGAGTTTGGCGGAAAACAAAGTTCCTATTGGACACTTGTTTTCCCGACGTCATCATGCAGTGTGTGACGTAGGATAATGCCGGAAATGTGCTTGGAAAGTGTTGGATTTATTGTAAAGTTGTGTTGTAGTTGTAGTAAAGTTGTGTTGGATAGTAAAGTTGTGTTGGATTGTAGTAAAGTAAAGTTGTGTTGGATTTTAGTAAAGTTTGTTGGATAGTAAAGTTGTGTTGGAGTTGTAGTAAAGTTGTGTTTGTAGTAAAGTTTTGTTGGAGTTGTAGTAAAGTTGTGTTGGATTTATAGTAAAGTTGTGTTGGATTTATAGTAAAGTTGTTGTAGTTGTAGTAAAGGTGTGTTGGAGTTGTAGTAAAAGTTGTGTTGGAGTTGTAGTAAAGTTGTGTTGGATTTGTAGTAAAAGTTGTGTTTGGATTTATAGTAATTGTGTTTGGATTTATAGTAAAGTTGTGTTGGATTTATAGTAAAGTTGTGTTGAGTTGATTTATAGTAAAGTTGTGTTGGATTTTTAGTTGTGTTAGTAAAGTTGTGTTGGATTTATAGTAAAGTTGTGTTGGAGTTTAGTAAATTTGTTAGTAAAGTTGTGTTGGATTATAGTAAAGTTGTGTTGGTAAATTTTAGTAAAGTTGTGTTGGAGTTTGTAGTAAAGTTGTGTTGATTTATAGTAAAGTTGTGTTGTAGTAAAGTGTTGGATTTATAGTAAAGTTGTGTTGGATTTAGTAGTAGTAAAGTTGTGTTGGATTTATAGTAAAGTTGTGTTGGAGTTGTAGTAAAGTTGTGTTGGATTTATAGTAAAGTTTAGTAAAGTTGTGTTGGATTTGTAGTAAAGTTGTGTTGGATTTATAGTAAAGTTGTGTTGGATTTATAGTAAAGTTGTGTTGGAGTTGTAGTAAAGTTGTGTTGGATTTGTAGTAAAGTGTGTGTTGGAGTTTAGTAAAGTGTGTGAAGTTGTGTGTGTTGGATTTATAGTAAAGTTGTGTTGGAGTTTGTAGTAAAGTTGTGTTGGATTGTAGTAAAGTTGTGTTGGATTATAGTAAAGTTGTGTTGGAGTTGTAGTAAAGTTGTGTTGGATTTATAGTAAAGTGTGTTGGTTTTGTAAAGTTGTGTTGATTTATAGTAAAGTTTGTGTTGGGTTGTAGTAAAGTTGTGTTGGATTTTGTAGTAAAGTTGTGTTGGAGTTGTAGTAAAGTTGTGTTGGATTTGTAGTAAGTTGTGTTGGATTTATAGTAAAGTTGTGTTGGAGTTGTAGTAAGTTGTGTTGGATTTATAGTAAAGTTGTGTTGGATTTATAGTAAAGTTGTGTTGGTAAAGTTTGTTATAGTAAAGTTGTGTTGGATTTATAGTAAAAGTTGTGTTGAAGTTTGTAGTAAAGTTGTGTTGGATTTATAGTAAAGTTGTGTTGGATTTATAGTAAAGTTGTGTTGGTAGTTGTAGTAAAGTTGTAGTAAAGTTGTGTTGGATTTATAGTAAAGTTGTGTTTGGATTTATAGTAAAGTTGTGTTGGAGTTGTAGTAAAAGTTGTGTTGGATTTTATAGTAAAGTTGTGTTGGATTTATAGTAAAGTTGTGTTGGATTTATAGTAAAGTTGTGTTGGATTTATAGTAAAGTTTGTGTTGTTGATTTGGATAGTAAAGTTGTTGGTAAAGTTGTGTTGTAGTAAAGTTGTGTTGGATTTATAGTAAAGTTGTGTTGGAGTTGTAGTAAAGTTGTGGTTGGATTTATAGTAAAGTTGTGTTGGAGTTTAGTTATAGTAAAGTTTGTGTTGGAAGTTTGTAGTAAAGTTGTGTTGGATTTATAGTAAAGTTGTGTGTTGTAGTAAAGTTGTAGTAAAGTTGTGTTGGATTTATAGTAAAGTTTGTGTTGGAGTTGTAGTAAAGTTGTGTGTTGGAATTTTAGTAAAGTTGTGTTGGATTTATAGTAAAGTTGTGTTGAGTTATAGTAAAGTTGTGTTGGATTTATAGTAAAGTTGTGTTGGAGTTTAGTAAAGTTGTAGTAAGTTGTGTTGTTGTAAAGTTGTAGTAAAGTTGTGTTGGATTTATAGTAAAGTTGTGTTGATTTTAGTAAAGTTTATAGTAAAGTTGTGTTGGATTTATAGTAAAGTTGTGTTGGAGTTGTAGTAAAGTTGTGTTGGATTTATAGTAAAGTTGTGTTGGATTTGTAGTAAAGTTGTGTTGGAGTTGTAGTAAAGTTGTGTTGGATTTATAGTAAAGTTGTGTTGGATTTATAGTAAAGTTGTGTTGGAGTTGTAGTAAAGTTGTGTTGGATTTATAGTAAAGTTGTGTTGGAGTTGTAGTAAAGTTGTGTTGGAGTTGTAGTAAAGTTGTGTTGGATTTATAGTAAAGTTGTGTTTAGTAAAGTTGTGTTTGTAGTAAAGTTGTGTTGGATTTATAGTAAAGTTGTGTTGGATTTATAGTAAAGTTGTGTTGGATTTATAGTAAAGTTGTGTTGGAGTTATAGTAAAGTTGTGTTGGATTTATAGTAAAGTTGTGTTGGATTTATAGTAAAGTTGTGTTGAAGTTATAGTAAAGTTGTGTTGGATTTATAGTAAAGTTGTTGGTGTTGTAGTAAAGTAGTAAGTTGTGTTGGAGTTGTAGTAAAGTTGTGTTGGATTTATAGTAAAGTTGTGTTGGATTTATAGTAAAGTTAGTGTTGGATTTGTAGTAAAGTTGTGTTGGATTTATAGTAAAGTTGTGTTGGAGTAGTAAAGTTGTTAGTTATAGTAAGTTGTGTGTGTGGATTTAGTAAAGTTGTTGTTGGATTATAGTAAAGTTGTGTTGGATTTTAGTAAAGTTGTTTAGAGTTATAGTAAAGTTGTGTTGGATTTATAGTAAAGTTTGTGTTGGATTTATAGTAAAGTTGTGTTGGAGTAGTAAAGTTGTTGTTTATAGTAAAGTTGTGTTGGAGTTGTAGTAAAGTTGTGTTGGATTTATAGTAAAGTTGTGTTGGATTTATAGTAAAGTTGTGTTGAAGTTATAGTAAAGTTGTGTTGGATTTATAGTAAAGTTTGTGTTGAGTTTAGTAAAGTTGTGTTGGAGTTATAGTAAAGTTGTGTTGGATTTATAGTAAAGTTGTGTTGGATTTATAGTAAAGTGTGTTGGAGTTGTAGTAAGTTGTGTTTGTAAAGTTGTAGTAAAGTTGTTAAAGTTGTGTTGGATTTGTAGTAAAGTTGTAGTTGTAGTAAAGTGGATTTGTAGTAAAAGTTGTGTGGATTTATAGTAAAGTTGTGTTGGATTTATAGTAAAGTTTGTGTTGGATTTATAGTAAAGTTGTGTTGTTTAGTAAATTTATAGTAAAGTTGTGTTGGATTTATAGTAAAGTTGTGTTGGTTGGATTATAGTAAAGTTGTGTTGGATTTTATAGTAAAGTTGTGTTGGATTATAGTAAAGTTGTGTTGGAGTTGTAGTAAAGTTGTGTTGGAGTTGTGTTGTATAGTAAAGTTGTGTTGGATTTATAGTAAAGTTGTGTTGGATTTATAGTAAAGTTGTGTTGAATTTATAGTAAATTGTGTTGGATTATAGTAAAGTTGTGTTAAAGTTAGTAAAGTTGGATTGTTTTATAGTAAAGTTTGTGTTGATTTATAGTAAAGTGTGTTGTTAGTAAAAGTTAGTAAAGTTGTGTTGGATTTATAGTAAAGTTGTGTTGGATTTATAGTAAAGTTGTGTTGGATTTATAGTAAAGTTGTGTTGGATTTATAGTAAAGTTGTGTTGGATTTATAGTAAAGTTGTGTTGAAGTTATAGTAAAGTTGTGTTGGATTTATAGTAAAGTTGTGTTGGAGTTGTAGTAAAGTTGTGTTGGAGTTGTAGTAAAGTTGTGTTGGATTTATAGTAAAGTTGTGTTGGATTTATAGTAAAGTTGTGTTGGAGTTGTAGTAAAGTTGTGTTGGATTTATAGTAAAGTTGTGTTGGATTTATAGTAAAGTTGTGTTGGATTTATAGTAAAGTTGTGTTGGATTTATAGTAAAGTTGTGTTGGAGTTGTAGTAAAGTTGTGTTGGATTTATAGTAAAGTTGTGTTGGATTTATAGTAAAGTTGTGTTGGAGTTGTAGTAAAGTTGTGTTGGATTTATAGTAAAGTTGTGTTGGAGTTGTAGTAAAGTTGTGTTGGATTTATAGTAAAGTTGTGTTGGATTTATAGTAAAGTTGTGTTGGATTTGTAGTAAAGTTGTGTTGGATTTATAGTAAAGTTGTGTTGGAGTTGTAGTAAAGTTGTGTTGGAGTTGTCGTAAAGTTGTTTTGGATTTATAGTAAAGTTGTGTTGGATTTATAGTAAAGTTGTGTTGGAGTTGTAGTAAAGTTGTGTTGGATTTATAGTAAAGTTGTGTTGGATTTATAGTAAAGTTGTGTTGGATTTATAGTAAAGTTGTGTTGGAGTTGTAGTAAAGTTGTGTTGGAGTTGTAGTAAAGTTGTGTTGGATTGTTATAGTAAAGTTGTGTTGGATTTATAGTAAAGTTGTGTTGGATTTATAGTAAAGTTGTGTTGGATTTATAGTAAAGTTGTGTTGGATTTATAGTAAAGTTGTGTTGGAGTTGTAGTAAAGTTGTGTTGGAGTTGTAGTAAAGTTGTGTTGGATTTATAGTAAAGTTGTGTTGGATTTATAGTAAAGTTGTGTTGGATTTATAGTAAAGTTGTGTTGGAGTTGTAGTAAAGTTGTGTTGGATTTATAGTAAAGTTGTGTTGGAATTTGTAGTAAAGTTTTGTGTTGGATTTATAGTAAAGTTGTGTTGGATTTATAGTAAAGTTGTGTTGTGGATTTATAGTAAAGTTGTGTTGGAGTTGTAGTAAAGTTGTGTTGGATTTATAGTAAAGTTGTGTTGGAGTTAGTAAAGTGTGTTGGATTTATAGTTAAAGTTGTGTTGGATTTATAGTAAAGTTGTGTTGGAGTTGTAGTTAAAGTTGTGTTGGATTATAAAGTTGTGTTGGAGTTGTAGTAAAGTGTTGGTTGTGTTGGATTTATAGTAAAGTTGTGTTGTTGTAGTAAAGTTGTGTTGGATTTATAGTAAAGTTGTGTTGGATTTATAGTAAAGTTGTGTTGGATTTATAGTAAAGTTGTGTTGGATTTATAGTAAAGTTGTGTTGGATTTGTAGTAAAGTTGTGTTGGATTTATAGTAAAGTTGTGTTGGAGTTGTAGTAAAGTTGTGTTGGAGTTGTAGTAAAGTTGTGTTACCGATGGTGTGTCCGGGCGACGTGAGGGACGAGCCGTCTGGAGAAGGATGGAACGGCTGCTGCACTTTGGTTCTGATGATCCTGAAGAAAGAAAAAAGAGAAACACTCAAGTCAAGAACAAGATCAGAATAAATACATAATAACATGATTTACTCTTAATCTTAAATTACATTTCAATCTGGTATAAAAAAGTTTATATTTAGGTTATAAAAGAACTCATCAGTATTTGTTGTAATGTTATTTTTTTCTTTTGAGCCTAAACGAGTTTATTGCATCGTGTGGGAAAAGAAGGATTAAAAAGTAGAACTAAACAAGGACTAAACCAGAAGTCAACCAGGTCTAAACCAGGACTAAACCAGGATTAAACAAGGACTAAACCAGAACCAAACTAGGTCAAATCCAGAAGTAAGGCAGGACTAAGCCAGGATTAAACCAGGACTAAACAGGGACTAAACTAGATCCAAATTAGGTCAAATCCAGAAGTAAACCAGGACTAAATCAGGCCTAAACCAGATCCAAAACAGATCTAAACCTATCTAAAGTAAACCAGGACAAAACCAGGACTACACAAGGTCAAATCCAGAACTCCACCAGAACTAAATCAGGACTAAACCAGGTCCAAACCAGGTCAAATCCAGAAGTCAACCAGGAGTAAAGCAGGTCTAAACCATATAACCATGCATTAAATAAAATCATAATGTTACTTTACTTTAGTGTTTTGACTAATTGATTTACAAATGCCAACAAATTTAATCTATATTCTCAGTCTAGAAGCTTCCAGTCAGTCCATTTTTACTTTTATTTAGTTAAAAATGTTAAAAAATAATAACAAATACCGACAATTAGACGAGCTGACTACTAAAAGAATTAGTTTCAGACCTATGTGCAGTCTCATTTTACAAAACCTCTCTTTTTAACATTTAATTTTTAGATCCTTGTCCCTCTCTCTGTTCTCTTCCTCCTCTCTCTGTTCTCCCTGTTCTCTCCGTTCCGATGACTCCGTATTGATCTCTGGCTCGAGGAAAAAGGGAAAAGAAGTTGTGGATTAGTGGAGTGTGCGGAGCCAGAGCCATGCAAATACACCGCTATAAATTATATGTGACAGGAAACCAATATCTCCTGATGGGCCTCGGCTCTCGGCCTCACAGGATTCTGCTCATCTGAAGAGGAGAGGAAAGACGAGACGAGGAGGGACGAGGGGAGACGAGGGGAGAGGGGCTGTCAGAGCGTTTGTACACTTTAAAATGCTTCATCCAGACAAAAAAAAGAAGAGGTCGGGTCAGGAATTTGGGATTTTTTGTAATTTTAAATGGTTGCGCTTATAAAGTCTGATAATTTCCACAAAAACAACAAAATCTCCTGTTTTACTTTACGTTTACACTGAAACAAATCACTGTATCGGAAACGATTTGCGTCCAAACACGTGTCTATGTCCGCAATCAAAGAATTTCCCTATCCACACAACTTTGAACATATTTGTTTATGTTTTACAGAAACAAAACTTAAAACCACATGGCTCATTTGCATAAACTGCTCAAAAACAGCTTGATATTGTGTCACTGATGTGGTTCAGCTTCTGTCGGACTACAGGACATGACTCAGTGGAATGTGAGTGTTGTTTCTGTGACAGAGGGATGTTCTGCTGATGGTGAGTCTGTTCTGTGTTTCTGTCATAAGTTAAAAAAAAAAAATAATAATAATAAATCTGTCTTTCTGTCAATTCTTCTGCAAAGAAATGCCTTAGATGAGCTGTATATCAAGATTATAGTGAGTAGATGGCATTGAAAGAAAAAAAAAAGAAAGACACAAATAAAAGCTTGTTTGGTTTTACACTGAAAAACATCACATCCTTACTCTGGCTGAGCTTGCATCTCCACAGACCTGACCTGAACCCTCGCCTGGAGCAGGGCCTCCTCCTGCTTGTTCTAAGTTCTAAAGGTGGGACAAGATACAGTTTACACAAGACGAGACGAGACACGAGAACCAGACAAGACGAGATTAGTCCAATCCAGTCCATTTGTGATCTATTCTGTTTATTTTTAGTTGGAAGTCCAGCTCTGGAGGAGAAAAAAAACTCATGAGATCATGTTCCTCATGTTTACACGATCCTGTGGCAATTTTCGTCTCACGAGATCTTGTCCCATCCTTACAAAGTTCTATACTGTAACTTTTTATTAATTTGGAATAACATTAAAATATTTAAATAACCAAAACTTTAACCAAATGTGTTGTCTCTTTTTGATATTGAGAAAAAAACATAATATTATTACTATAACTTGACAGGGAAAAGGCCTTAAGGCCTTGCAGAGTTTTTTATAATCTATAGAAGAGATTCTGTTTAAAAATGAGTTGAATATACAATTATTTTACCTATAGTTGAAAGTACAAATTACTATACCAATTCCAAAATGTGTCATGGAGGTTTTTTGTTTCTTATCATTCAAAAAACAAAACCTGTTAGCAAATACCATTATTTTCTCCATACACAATAATAATTTTCTATTTCATGCAGTAACATGTCACCTTCAAAAAGTTACATACTGTACCTTTAATTTATTTGGAATAACATTAAAATAATTCAATAACCAAATTAACAAGATGCTTTTTTTTTTTTTGTATTTTTTCGTTTTTGTTTTTAATTGACAAAAAAAAAGTAACAGAATTTAAATTACTACAGCCTTTTTTTATTTTTACTTATTTTTTAAATGACAAAAATAAAATTAACTAAATTGAAATAACTATAGCCTTGTAGACTTTTTTGTATATATTTTTAATTTTTATTAATTTTATTTTTTTACTGACAAAAATAAAAATAGTAAAATTGAAATGACTACTGTATATCTTGAGAGGGAAAAGGCCCTGTGGACATTTGGTACAATATAATTAGAGATTCTTTTTTAAAACTGGTTAAAATAAATAATTTGTTTATCTTGTTTACAGTTAAAATTCCAGAAAAAATATCAGAGAGTCAAATACCAAATAAAATAAATAAAAATGATGGGTTTAATGGTCTTGACTTCACCTTTGGCCTATGCACAATTGCGTTACATAATTTCCATACGGACAAAGGAACACAGCCTTTTACTCCAACAATATTTATGATGAAAAACACAAAATCTCGGAGCGCCGACGTTCCAGCGGGAGTCCGTATCGACGTTCTAATCCTTCCCCCGTTTTCCCATAACAGTTTTTCGACCTGGACCCGAACGCGGCGTAAATCTGGACCCTTTATTTGGTTTCCATGGCGTCCACATCGAATAAGCCATTTAGGAGGAGGAAAAATTAACGACGCCACAGCAGCAGAAAATCCCCCAAAGAAATATGAAAATGCTCCGCGATCGGATCAATACTCCGAGCGGGAATCTTCTGTTTATGTATCTGTGGGTCTGGAGTCGGAGCTCGGCCTGTGGAGCAGCCGGAGATTTACTCGGGTATTTTACCGCTGAAAAATAAAATAAAATAACACATGTATATTCAAATAAATGTTTAAAGGTGTAACGTGTAACTTTTCTGGTGGGGGGTTCGCTACCTGCTGGTCTCCATGGAGATGTTATTGTTTCAAATTAAAATCAAACTGAGAGTGAACTCGCCCTAAACTCAGGCCTGCACCAGGACTAGACCAGGACTAGACCAGAGCTAGACCAGGACTAAAACAGGACTAGACCAGGACTAGACCAGACTAGAACAGGACTAGATCAGGAGACAGATCAGGACTAGACAGGACTAGAACAGGACTAGACCAGGACTAGATCAGGACTAGACCAGGACTAGATCAGGACTAGATCAGGACTAGAACAGAGCTAGAACAGGACTAGAACAGAACTAGAACAGGACTAGACCAGGACTAGACCAGAGCTAGACCAGAGCTAGACCAGGGCTACACCAGAGCTAGACCAGGACTAGAACAGGACTAGAACAGGACTAGATCAGGACTAGATCAGGACTAGATCAGGACTACACCAGAGCTAGACCAGAACTAGATCAGGACTAGACAGGATAGATCAGGACTAGACCAAAACTAGAACAGGACAGGACTAGACCAGGACTAGAACAGGACTAGACAGATCAGGACTAGACTAGACAGGACTAGGACTAGACAGGACTAGACTCAGGACTAGAACAAGGACTAGATCAGGACAGGACTAGAACAGGACTAGAACAGGACAGAACAGACTAGAACAGGACTAGATCAGGACTAGACAGGACTAGATCAGGACTAGACAGACCAGACTAGACTAGACAGGACTAGAACAGACTAGACAGACTAGGACTAGCAGACAGATCAGGACTAGACAGGACTAGATCAGGACTAGGACTAGAACAGGACTAGAGACAGACAGACTAGAACAGGACTAGACTAGACAGACTCAGGACTAGACAACAGAGACTAGACCAACAGACTAGACTAGGACTAGACAGAGACTAGACTAGACCAGGACTAGACTAGAACAGGACTAGACCAGACTAACAGACTAGATCAGGACTAGACAGGACTAGACAGACTAGGACTAGAACAGACTAGACTAGACTAACAGACTAGACTAGATCAGGACTAGACTAGACAGACAGGACTAGAAGACAGACAGACTAGACAGGACTAGACAGGACTAGGACTACTAGACCAGACAGATAGACTAAAAACAGAACAGGACTAGACTAGAACAGGACTAGAACAGAACTAGAACAGAACTAGATCAGGACTAGACAGAACAACTAGAACAGGACAGACAGAACAGGACTAGATAGAACAGACTAACAGACTAGAAACAGACTAGACAGGACTAGACAGACTAACAGACTAGACTAACAGGACTAGACCAGGACTAGGACAGACAGGACTAGATCAGGACTAGACCAGACAGACTAGATCAGGACTAGACTCAGGACTAACAGGACTAGAACAGGACTAGACAGACTAGACCAGACTAGAACAGGACAAGAACAGACCAGGACTAGATCAGGACTAGAACAGGACTAGAACAGGACTAGATCAGGACTAGAACAGGACTAGACAGGACTAGAACAGGACTAGAACAGGACTAGACCAGGACTACACCAGAGCTAGACCAGAACTAGATCAG